TTTATTTCTACTGCCACTGTGATGTGCTGATTTTACACGAGTATATAAAGTATGAGCTCAGAAGCATAAAAATTCTACAGCCATTAACTGTCAACATATTCATTGCATTTGATATCTCAATTTATAACTGATACAGTGTAGAATTAATTTGTTTTCCTTACACTTTAAAATCATACACTTGTTGATTTGCTTATGTTAAGGAGCTGGGTGCTGATTGGATTTTAGTTATATTTAGCAATTACTGATAGAGCTGTGATCCAATGGAAGCAATACTTTTGGAGGAATGTAAAAATCAACGAGCAATTTCCTTCTGAGACACAGTGTTTAGAAGAAAGGTGGCCCCTGTGCATGAACCCATGAGAGTCCTCCTACTTAAGGGCAGACTTCTCTCTAATCCTTTACTCAAACTAAATTTCTGGTTCAAGAAGAGCAGTGCCAATCAGTAAGCGGGACAACTGCAGGCTTCAACATTTCCCAGATATAACATGATACCAGCTTATCTGCATCCTCAATACCTTTTTCCCTGTTCGTTTGCCCCTCTCTCTTCTAACCCACATTACCACTGCTGTATTCCTGGAAGGCCTTGCAGTTAGGCAACCATCACAATTCTCCCTGGGGAGTTAAAGGCTCAACCAGGCCAGGAGCATGCTGGAGCCAGCTTGAGAGGTGACTGCTAATATTCAGAAATTTTGGGAGCAGATTGTTAACTTGGCAGCTTGAAATCAGTCATGGAGGAAATATGCACAACATGGAAACAAACATAAACTGCCCCACCCCTACCCCGAGAGCTGGTTCATAAGCACACCACTGGGTACCATGCTCTCCAGGGAATCTTGCACTTTCATTAGGTACTCCTAAAAACCTTATTCGAAAAATCTAGATTCAAAGTGAACTTCTGTGGCTGGGATTTCTCCAATAGGAATAAACAATGGAAAACTTCCTAGAGGCACTGCCCAGGTGTTATTGCACAGGCAAACAGCTAGGCCATCTTCTGAAAACCAGCTCTCCTGACACAGTGCTAGGAGATATGGTGGGAAATCATAAAAATTTTTATAAAAAACATTGTCTTTCTGGGCCAAGAATGATTTCCAAAGGCATATGTACATATAACAGCTCTATAAAATATGTATTATTTTATAACAATGAATACAGACTGAATCAGTATGTTTAGAGTTACCAATGAGAGCAAATAATAAAGTGTAAGAGTGGACTATGCTCCTCAAAAAGAACAAAGAATTGCAAAGCTCCACAGAGGATCTGAAGATAATAGTCCATAGGGAGAAAAACTAAATTTACTAATAGAGTGCCAATTAAATAATCTAGTGGTTTCTAAAACTAAAAGTAGGCTTAACATCTTACCAAGATCTTAAAAAATCCTAACTGTTGAAGTAGTGGTTAAAGGAAAGACCAGGCTTAGTTACCTAAGTACAGCCAGCTACATTTACTCACATTCCCAGAATATTTTCTTTGAAACGGGGGAAGGATGAGTTATGTTCAATACAAACTAGGTATCTTTCCTACGTATTTTTTCTAAGCTTCTCCCTATTTTCAGATATTCACTGTGTCTGTTGTGCACCAGGCACCATCTTCACTATAAAGGATGAGTAAGTGCCAGTTCCACACTGTGTCTATTTCAGAGGATTCTATCCATTTTTTAAAGTATACAGCACTATTCAAAGGCCGCAAAGCGATTCTACCAGTAATATATAAAATATTTAGTTTCTGATGACTTTGCTGTAATTAGAAAATGACATTTGAAAGCCGTGGCCTTTCGGCCTTTTTGCTGCCACAAGAATAGCCACCAGGAGCCTTTCAGAGAATATGATTTGTTTCTGAGGAAAACTGTGGTGTAGCTTTAACAGCCTTCTTGGGAAGAATACAAATGTAACTAAATACAAATATACAAAAAGTATGCTTTATAAAGAAAACCATGAAGCACAGTCAGAAGAATTATGGCTCATAATTAACCATGCTTCTGAAAACATGGAGTCTAAAAGTAATAAAAATGGACTCTTAATGGGCTCTTAGAACGACAGTTACAGTAATGCTCTGAGTTTGCTGAGTTTTGAGTCGTTGACTATACGAAAAACACATGTTCCTATCAAAGCATGTAAAACCAATGAACATGTTTATATGCAAGAACTTAATATATACTCTCTTGCAAGCTGTACTCATTAAAACAACTATCAAAGACTTCATTAAACAAACACAAAAATTCAAAGCAACAATGGCTTCAGACCTATTAATTCTGGAAGCCTGAAACGTAGTAGCAAAAACACAAAGGATAGAGAGAAAGCATGCGACTGACAGTTTATCTAGATATAACAGTTCTTTTGACACCAGGCAAAGGAATTAGGGAAAGATGGGGATCAACAGTGGCGGGCGGCATTATCTGTCTGGCCTTTACTGCTGACCTAAAGGAGCATCTCAGGACTAACAGGAACCACCCAAGCATGGGGTGTAAACCTCCCATACCAGCCTGGGGCTGCCTCAAACTACTGAAGTGCAAACCTGGCCTTTTAATTTCTAAAATGTAAACTAAGTCCTTTTGGCCACTAGATGGAGATCAGGTTACTCTGCCAGTAGCAAGTGAAGCTGCTGGTAGCCAGCAGTGATAAGTAGGGTGTGGAGAACTTATTCTTTTTTCAATATTTCTAATAAAGCCCTTAAATCAGTAGCAGATCTATGTTGAATAGTGTCCATAAACAAGGAACAGCTTGAGGGATTGAACAGGAGAACTGTAAAAGACAGGTTTTTGCCTGCAATTACCATTGCCCCGGGATCATTTGTATTTAGGTTGGTTGTGTAAACTTGTAAATAATAACAAGAACTGGTCTAAATAAGAGCAATTAAATCTGCTGTCTCATTGTTACCAAACAATGAGAAGTGAGAGGAGAGATATAACCAAAAAATTCAAACAATGGCAGGTTATTTGGACAATGAATCCTGTCTGTTTAGGCAGAAAGACGTGCTCACAATTTGTTTCTCAGTTTGAATCTGTATATAAGTATACATTTTCAGTATCAACCAAAACGGATCAGGGAACATCAGAGCTGGAAGAAGAACATTAGGTAATATCTATTCTAATTTCCAAATGGAACTGTGATTCAATTCTGAATTATGTAACTTTTTACTGAATACGTCTTATTTCTGTGATAGCTGAACACTGAACTGGAGGCATAGTTATATATTTCCTGGAAAATGGTTGGGTTGGGGAAGGATCGGACACTGTCTTATAAAATACAGCCAAATACTTTGTTTATTTTCGAGATGTTTGGTACTATAATTCTGTTTATTCCTAACTTAATAATCATATATAGTCAGCAAATACCTTGAGTTACATAAAAACAAATGAATAATTTGTGACAGTTTAAAATAATTCCATTTGTTACCAAATAACTTTAATGACCACTGTAATTTAGTATATACGAATGTGAACATAAACAAACATATTAATTGCTTGTTGTGTACCAACTGTTATGTTAGGAGCTGGGAAAACAAAGGTGCACAACAGAGTCAGGGAAGACACTGGGAAGAGAAAACCTACTTAAGCTGAAACACAAATAGGGGTTAATTTTTGTAGCAGTTGACACCAGTTATCAAAATCATGAGTAAAAGTCCTTTTTAAAGTTCTGGCGTAAAAGATAAATTTAGTAGGCCACAAATGCTGACCACAGGAAAAACATGACTTCAGATATCTGTAACGCATGAAAAATTAAAAATAAAACAAAATAAAAGATTCAAATACAACAGTATTTACTATTAGATATCAATCACTGTAATGAAAATAGGAGCTTAATTAAAAGGGAGAAGAAACTAATGTTTAGCATAATAAAAGAAACAGAACCATAGTTAATTAATTTTCTAATTATTGCTCTGGGTGGTGACCAACATTCAGTCTGTTGCTATGATAAATCCATTGCACTTAATGACATGTTTAGTTTAGAGCTATACATTTGTTTTAGCTTAATCAAATTAATATATTCATACAATTCCAAAAGGATTTGAGGTTGCTTGCCTATATTGGCCTGTGATTTTCAAAATGTTCCTTCAAGCTATTAAGAATCTAAGAGAACTATGCATTATTCATTCACAAATATATATATTTCTTCTTTAAGGAAATCACAAAAATAATCACATAAAACAGTAATTATTAATCAGCTATCAATGGAATAGTTTGTGGAAATTTCTTATCTCGTTAATTGGCTCTTTGCAGAGCAGCACAGCTGGCAGAAACCTACCTTTCTTCTTAATGGATAAAAATGAAATGTAAACAAGGAAGTTTTCTTCTGAAGATTAAAATAAATAAATTACAAATAAATGCTTTTATGATATGCTTTAGTATTTATGAGTACACAGGCTTCCTCAATGTTCACATTAGTTCCAGACGGCAGCTAGATTAGGTGGTGACTGAGTCATTCTTGGAGTCCTGGAGTTTCCCCTCACTTTGATGACCTGTTCCCACACATCTTTCCAGTGTAGGGTTGTGTCTGCTTACTATGACTACTAAACTTGCATTATCTGGAAATAAGGACACTGGTAAAAACACATCTCTATTAGATGCATAGTTTTGTTCATCTTCTCTAGTCTAAAGGTTTTTGCCTTATAATAATGTGCTGCATTTTAGATCCTCAGAAACTCTATTTCCTGGGTAGTATGTAGAGATGCTGTCCACAATGGTAGTAAAAGTGAGAACAGATGCAAAGGTGGTGCTAGAAACTGATTAATGCTTAAGGTTAAAAAATAAAAGTTGATTGTATTCACGTGGTGTGCTGTGAGGAACCTGTATATTTAAGCGCTGACAGAAAAAAGGGCACATTTTTACTCTTTCACTATGTAAATGGATAAGATTTGCCTTTTTCTGGGTCCAAAACTTATTTTAGCCATTAAAACAACTATATTTGAGTCATTGCGCTACAAGTTTTCACAACTGTGGCATGAGGAACGAAATTTATACGTGAATATGCACCCTTAAGAGGTAAGGTCAATTCAGCGGGTACCTGCATATGTCTGTCATCTTGTCCAATCATGTTTCTCCATTCCATGAGCGAGCGCTGCAGATGTTCAAGTCCAGTTTCCCAAAGCCTGATGCGACCTCCCATATCAACAGTAACCACACCACCTTTGCCCCACTCAGCTAGCAGAGCATCTGTGTCCGAAATAGTAGATATCCATGTGGTATATGGGGAGAGAGATTCTGAACTGAAAAAGAAATCAGTATTCAACCAGTTGGTAGTCTACATAATGTAATAAGTTCAACCTGATTTAGGTGCAATAAACTTGCTATAAAGAATTCTAATAGTGAGCACATTAAAATATATCAACAGTTCTACTTGTAAGTTAAAAAATATACATTGAGTTATTGGTTATTTACATTTTTCCATATTTGTGGACCACAAATGACACTAGTATTCACTGTCAGAAAGAAACTCTAAACCAACTCAAACTTCGTAAATGTGCAGCGTAAGGTAAGTGCTGAAACTGATGTTTTATTTGTGTTTTAACTGCTTTTGTATTTGATATTTTGCCTTTTCTAACTTAGAAAGTTATAAGGATTTATATTAAGTAATTTATATATTTCTTGTGTTATATATTTCATACATATACATGTTTCCTTTTTTTTATATTTCTGATTACATATATAGTCATTTCTAGGAATGTAACTTTTGCCTGTAATAATAAATTACATACATATTTCCTTTATCTGAGTATAGCTTTTACTACATAAAAACATACATTAGAAATTCTAAAAACCAGTTTACTACATAAAAACATACATTAGAAATTCTAAAAACCAGTTTTGGCTCTTTAAATATATCTGATATATTCTACATGAAATAAACTGTCTAAAGGGGTTGTTTGGTCAGATAATAAAAACATAAACTATTATTGTTGATCTGTTAAAACCACTACTTATTAGAGAAATATTTATAATATACCAAAAATAAACCAACACTACTTTGACCCTATTTTCAGACTGCCTTAGTAGATTTTAAACACAGTGTAACAAGGCCAGCTACTCTGCAACACAGAAATCTTAGAAAATGTTTATATGAAGAGGATAATAGCAGTAGGATGGGACCAAGTGTTTCAGAACTACTTTGCAGTACTAGATGGACTCAAAGAAAGTAACATTTGATATAATACAGGATATAACTTATTGTGCTCTCCAAAAATCTATTTCTCGTAGGAAAAAAATTAGTAGGTACAGATGGTGAAGTAAAAGGCTATTTAAGAATAATGAAATTTATCCATGTGAAACTATGATGTTTGAAACTCTTCCAAGAGCACTCAAGATGTGTGCATCTAATGAGCACTGAACCTACTGCTTGCATATTTAACTCACCACCATGAAACTAGAAATTTACAAGGGCAATTTCTTTAATATGGCAATAAAAAGTGCTGAAGAAATCGCATTTTTACAACAATTTGTACACCAGGTCTAGAATCTCTTCTCTACCTTTATAAAAGTAATAATACATGTTCCCCTTATACATAACAAGTTCTTTAAGAAAAACAGAATTACAGTAAAGTGAAACCTAGATTTATATACACCCACATACAAGGGCTAGGCCGTACCATTTTACAAATGCAAATAATATAAAATTTGAGAAAAAAATACTCAAATTTTACTGAAGGCAAAAGTGATATATTCATTTTGGCCTTGTAGTTACATATAATTTTACTGTATTTTCTATTACTTGAAGTTAGCCATCAAATGGAAAATTCCTGATATCTAGCAGAATGCTCAATTTAAGCACTTAGCAACAAAACTGAAATCCAGATGGGTTGTTCCCTTGGATTACATATATGCCAAAATATGACAACAGTTAATCTCAAGAGAAGCTCAAGATATACTGACAACGAACAGACTCTAAATCATGCGGCACCTAAAATGTGGAAAGTCCAAATTTAGATGTTTTATAAGTGTAAAATACATACTAGATATCAAAGACTTAGAGAAAAGAAGGAATGTAAATTATCTCATGAAAAGTTTTATATTGAATACATGTCAAAGGATAGTATTTAAGATACACTGGTTTAATAAAATATTAAAGTTAATTTCACTTGTCTTTTTTTACTTTTTTAATGTGCTTACTAAGGAGTATAAAATTACCTATGTGGCTCACATTATATATTTCTATTGGACAGTGCAGCCCTAAATGAATTATGGTGACCAGCTGGCACTGGTTATATATACAGTTGTTCTTCCAGATGTTCTTTCTATGGCAGGTATAACATACAGGTCACAGAGAAAGTTAAAAGAGACAAACATGGAAATAAAAAGCTAGGTAGGGCTAATGAGGGAGAAATTAAGACAAATATTATTTAATGCTTTAGAAATGTAACATACAAAAAAGTTGTTCTTTGCTTTTGTAACTTGTGTTAATAGTATATTTTAATGAGCATATAATTAACATGGAATAGGGACTTTCCCCAAATGACTAAAAGCCATTTTCCATTAAACTGACACAAGAAGGCATACTTATATATGTTAGAATAGTAGATCTATTTCTTTGAATATGTTTTCATTTATTCATATTTCTTGAGCCTGACTAAAGGGTAAATGAAACTATGTTTCTGAGTTATTTTGCACTGTCACGCTGAGCTATTTTCTTCTGGGAATTGGAGGAGTGGGTAAAGAGATGGCCGGGTGATATTTCGGGTAACTGACAAGTTCCAGTGTCCCTGGCCTTCTGGCGGCATTGGAAGGCTTTCCAGGCTCCTCTGCTTAGGGATTTTGGGTGATGTTTAACCACTGTGTTCTGAAGGCTCGGTCACCTGTGAGGGAGTATATGTGAGGAGGGGATGTGAGACCACAGCAGGTGCATGATCAGGTTGAAGGAAGTCAGGGATGGACACATGCAGAGAGGGATGGCTACAGGTGAGGACCCCTGTGTTCCTCAAGGCAGACAAAGAGCATCACTGTTTCTCCTTTTGTATCCTCAGTCTAGCTAGTGTGAAAGCTTGGCTTCCATCCCTGGACAATAACAAAAGCAGTGCCTGTAGATGCACAGAAACATATTTTAAAACAACATTAACCAAATGCTATTGACATGAACTTACATGCATATATGCATAACCCATGGACACAGACAATAATGTGGTGAAGGCCTGAGGAGAGGGCGGGAACCAGGTAGGGGGTGTAAATGGGGAGATAAAAGGGGATATCTGTAATATTTTCAACAATAAAGATAAATTTTGAAAATTACTTTGACATTATGAATACATTTACCTCACAAAACTAAAATATGAAGTTAATAAGTATGAAAATTTCTGTAACACTAAAAAATTCTGTTTCAGATACAGAAAAATGTATCATTAGGACAGATCAACAAAAAAGAAATGAAGATTAAAGTGGCAGTAAGGCATGCAGAAGAACAGCAAGATATAAACCAACTTTAACTGAAAGAAAAAAAAAAAGAACTTTCTCTTTAAGGAAGCAAAAAGCACATACTTATTCAGAGAACTTGTTAAGAAGTTACTTAAAAAAAAAAAAAATCTGGCATACAAGCTAAGAACAAAGTGGAAATGGACTACCTGGGAATAGGGATATATCGGAGTTTCTTTGATTGAAGATCAGTGACTTCTATATAACCAGATGTTCGTGGAGGGGTAACATCTGCAAATAGTCATGACAAGAGCAGAGTATTAAAGTACTACATGATACCAAAATAGGAACAACAACAGAAAAGCAGGAATCCTGCTGAAAGTGGAATGAAGTTATCAATAGCCCAAGGCAGAACTCTTAGGACTCTTGTTTGAGTGATGAGGAAGCTGAGGCTTATGTAAGTAATATAATAATGTGGTTTGCTTGAGGAAATGTAGCTGTAGAGTAATAGAGATGGCTTTCAAACCCACACCTTCCTAGCTCTGAAATCTATGTTCTATCTACCACTCCCTATCTACCACTCTATGTTCTATCTACCACAGCTGCTACTAGAGCTGGCCCTAAGGCAACAACAATTTTAAAAATAGCCCCATTTTACAAAATCTGTGCCACTACTACTGTCTCTTAAAAAACAAACAAAAACTTCCCCTTCACAGAACCCATACCTTTAAAGACTTTTGTCTCCTGTCGTCTGTCTGTCTCTATCTATCTATCTATCTATCTATCTATCTATCTATCTATCTATCTATCTATCTATCTATCTATATCTATCTAATCTTCTTACAACTTATAATTAGAATGAGACATCAAAAATGTCCATGCTGAATTTATCACACATAGTTTACAAAAAAGAAGGAGCATGACATTTTTACTTCATATTTGCAGTTGAAGGTTTTGAGTAGACCACCTGGGAAACTCAAAATCTCTCTTACTTATTCAACAAACACGGTTGAGCTTACTTTGTACCAGACACAATACAAAGCACCGAGACAGAGAAAAAAGAGACGAGGAACCCCTAGCATAAAGAAGAAAGTTCTTTTTTGAAACAAACAAACCAAAAAAAAACACAGAAAAAAAATAACCCATCTTGGGCCCTTAAGGACTCAGAAAGTATTCCAGGGTGGGAATCACAGGCCTGGGGCTGGGTATGAGCTGCAGAGCTAGGCAAGGAGTGGTGCAAAGGGGTTAGGGGAAGGGAAGATAAGGTGCTGAGATAGCAAAGGGTAAGAAGAGAGGGTTACTATGGTAATCTGACCTCCCAGCTGGAGTAGCTGTCCCCAGATGGCCATTTGTATAAAATGAACATGCTTATCCTAAGTCAGGCACTGCCTGCATTGGAAATGCTGCCTGGGATATAAGGTCAATCTTGGATAAAGTTTTGCATCATATATCATTTTTGACAGATACTGCTGCTAAGACCTCACTGGAACAGACTGAATTATTTATAGACCCAGGCTCTTTGCCAAAAATTACCAGTTATTGAAGCAGTTGGGATGGATAGAGCTGCCTAGCTTTTGGCTTGCAGCTAACAGGAACTATTTTCATAACTATTAATATTAAGTTGAGCTACTGCCATTAGTACTTTTATTTTATTTTTATTTTTTATTTTTTAAAATATATCTTTATTGATTTCAGAGAGAGGAAAGGAGAGGGAGAGAGATAGAAACATCAGTGATGAGAGAGTCATTGATTGGCTGCCTCCTGCACACCCCCAACTGGGGATTGAGCCCGCAACCCGGGCATGTACCCTGACCGGCAATCGAACCCTGATCACCTGGATCCTAGGGCGATGCTCAACCGCTGAGCCACGCCCGGCCAGGCCATTAGTACTTTTAGAATGCCCGTGAAAGCAAAGTAAGCCAACTTACTTTAAATTATCTTTTTTCTATATTTTTCTTTTCTTTCACTGTGCAAATTAATTTCATGGCATAAAGAGCATGAGAAAATTCAATAATGGCTATGTCTATTTCAAGAAGAGGAAGCAAGAATTTTACTCTTGGTGCTAAAAAATATTTCCACTATTAGAAAAGGCAATTTGTGGCTATAAAGTACTTCAAAAAATACTTAGGGTGGTGGTAGTGGTGGTGGTAATTGTGAACACTTGAAAAATAGTCAGAATTGATGTTTACTGATTTGAAAATAAATTAGCTCAGAATATATGATTAAATTAAGGAAGTAAAAAACCGTGGCCAGATTTTCCTCCAAACTTGGCCAAATTCTTGTGTATCCATTTCATTTTATTTTATTTTTTAAAAATAATTTTATTGATTTCAGCGAGAAGAAGGGAGAGGGAAAGAGAAAGAGAAACATCATTGATGAGAGTCATTGATTGGCTGCTTCCTTCTGGGGGATCAAGTCCACAACCTGGGCATGTGCCCTGACCGGGAATCGAACCAAGATCTCTTGGATCCTAGGTTGATGCCCAACTGCTAAGCCACGCCGGCTGGGCTGTGTATCCATTTTAAATGTTCCAATAATGTCGAAAGGACAGAGGCTGAATAAATTTCCATTATATTTATAGTCCAGGTGGATTTCAAAGATAGGTATAAACTATATTTAGGGATTAGTTCACTAGTGATTAAAGGGAAGTCACAACTGCAGTGTTTATGGCATCAGTCCCATGAGCAGTGGGGACAGCTTACGTGTGGGGACAGCTTATGCGCGCTGCGCCAAGGTTAGGAGGAGGTATGGAAGCTGTCAAGCAAAAGCACCAAGAACATTTCAGAGGGAAGATGAAATTATATTTAAAACATTTACTCCTTCTAGCAATGTAATTTAAGTACATCTGTTACCTACTAGTTAACGATCTTGTACTCCCAGATCAAAAGAGTGATGTGTGCCCTGCAATCATGCTGATACCAAATCTTTGAATTCACTCAAAGTTCAAAAAACAGCGCACTGCTTTCAGTCAATAGTCATTATTTTGTGTTTAAGGAGCTTAGGCCTGTGACTAAAAAAAGCTAACACTTAACTAGAAGAGAAACAATGAAGAGAAAGCAGTAAATCTCTCCTTGTCTGCATTAAACAGAAGTTACACCATCCTTAAGCCACCAGGAGAGTAGCCTTTACAGTTTCTATTGATTTCTTTAATAAAAGGCTGATATGCATTAGTTCCTGACTAGTCAGATGGCTGGATTCTATTTACTTTAAAAAATTGAATTTTTATCGGAGATCGACATGAGCATAGATTACCGAGTCACACAGGCCAAAAGAAAAGGCAGTCAGCCCCGGATTTACTCCTCTCATCCCACATTTCCTGCTCCCAGAGACACGTTCAACTTTTACGCAAGGGCTACAACTACACAGTGTGAGAAGTTGAGTGAAAACTTTCTGGGTACGTACAGGTCATGTAAACTACTGGAACCCTGTTATAATTATCTATATTAACAAATATACAATGACAATCATAAATTAAATATCCCTATCAAAAGCAAACTACCTTGGTAAATTAGGAATTGGTAAGTTTCTTACTTTTGGGGTAGATATCTTTTAGAGGGACTTCTCCTGCGGGCAAAATCCTGACTATCTGATTAGTATCGACAAGAGTCACACAATTGCTCTGTTTTGGGGTTCCACTTTTCTTCTTTCCTCCGTAGAATGCTGTATCAGTGACCCTTGATTTATGCAAAGATGATGGCCTTTTCCAAGAGTAAACTTCACTGGGTGACTGAAAAAAAAAAAAAAAAAAAGATTAAGGCACTGAAGTGCTATGAACGACATTCACTACAACTTGTTAATGCAGCCCTTCAAGCAGATATACAGTTTCACAAGTATAAGAAAATAAAATTATTCCTTAAACTTTTTGAATTTGGTACGGGAGATAGCTGCTTTACCAGTAATCATAATTTTTAGACAAGTGTGAGTATACAACATATTTTTATCTTGAAATGAATTATAACTAACAGGACAGAATATAACAATATATTTTAGTTAGTTTAAAAATAAAACAAACTCTTAACACATCCACTCTCTGGCATAAGGAATAGAACATTACTAGTACTTTTATTTATTTATTAAAGTACAGTTGACATACAACATCATATTGGCTTCAGGTATATAACACAGTGAATCAATACCTATATACCTTACAAAGTGATCACCATGATAAGTCTACTTATCATAAGGTCCTGATAGCCCACACTGGGCTATGTTCATGCCTGGATGCCTTCCTCACCTTATCTGGGCTCCCACATACCACATCAGGTTGCCCGTTCATGGGGACATAACATCTTCACCTTGCCTGGACTTAATTCCCATCACCAGTGCTTCCCCCTCTGCCACCACAAATGTCCTTTCACTTACTCAGGCTCTGCATTCTGACACCTCACACTGGGACACTGTTTGCCTATTTTTTATTTTGGATTACTGGTTTTCTTACTCATCAATTTTGAGAAATCTTTATATATTCCTGATACAAGTCCTTTGTTGGAAATGTGATTTGCCAATATTTTCTCCCAGCTTGTAGATTGTCTTTTCTTTCTCTTAACAGTGTCTTTTACAGAGCTTAAGTTTTTAGTTTTGATGAAATTTAATTTATCAATTTTTTTAACAGATCACATCTGAGATGCTTGGTACAATGTTTAATAGAAGTGGTGACAGTGGTATCCTTGTCTTATTCTTTGTATTATTTTTTAAATACGTTTTTATTGATTTTAGAGAGAGAGGAAAGGAGGGGGAGAGAGAGAGAAACGTCAATGAGAGAGAGAAGCATGGATCGACTGCCATCTGCATGCCCCTTAACTGGGATCAAGACCACAATCCGGGCATGTGCCTGAGACCTCAGTGCATGAGATGATACTTAACCAACTGAACCACACTGGCCATGGCTTATTTTTGATATTAAAAGAAATGCTTTTAATGTTTCACTATTGAGGATGATATTTGCTGTAGGTTTTTGCAGATATTTGGTATTAGGTTAAGAAAGTTTTAATAAGTTTATAATAATTTAGGTGCCTCTGTTAATGCTATAAAAAGTTAATAAAAGGAAACATACCCCTTTGTTGATAGTGTTACAAAGATTCAAAAGAAATTCACACAGAAGCAGAAAGGCACTGTGGTACAATAGAAAGGCTATGGTTGAGGGCCAATCCCACTGAGCTCAAATCCCAGCTAATTTACTCATAATCTTTGTAGCCTAGGGGATACATCCTCTTTGTTTCTGTTCTTCATCTATAAAATCTTGTAGAAGTGCCTGACTATTGCGTTAAGGCCTAAAAAGCATGATTATTATAAAATGCTAAAAGGCTGCCTAATTTACTCTAATCCTTCATTAAATAAAAATTCATTGAATATCTCCTACATGGTGGGTACCATACTAAATATGGAAAGATAGAGCTTTCAACAAGGTCACTAGTCCTACAGGCTATAAAGAATTTCTACAAGGTTAATAAAAACAGTGCCTTATATTCAGCTTTTACTTTCTAAACTTTTTATAATAACATCATGTTTCTATTCTAATTTCTTCAATCAGAAGATCAGCTTTTGAATAGTTCTACCTTCAGAAAAATAGCTCCAGTATTTTCTACACTGATACAGCAAGCACTGTAGAAAGCATATTAAACCTCTCTTTCATTCATTCAAGGCTGCGGTAGGTACTGTATTTCAACAGCATGTTTCCTTTTCAGTTATGTAATACCATAGCAAATGCTTTTTACTTGATAATTAGGAAGACATATGGCAAAGTCCTAAGCCACACATTATCCATTGGGTTTTGGATTTCGAAAGTCTTTGACCCTGACGTACTCATCATTCATTAAGTAGATTAATTTTTGAGGTATGTGAGATTGGTATACTGTGAGGCAGAGCTGATATTTTTATCTTTAGATGATTCTATCACCCCACCTAAAAGCTCCAAAGGGAACTATGAAAATGAAATGTTTAATCGAAACACATGGAGCTACATCTAAGGTTATTAGATGGCAACTTGGACTGAAATAACCTTTTTGTTTCATTTATCCACATTACCATCAGGGGAAGATAGTGCCTATTTTCACCTAAAACCAATTACAAACAGCCCCTTCTTTACAGATAATAATAAATAACAGCAGAAAGGTCCATCTAAAAGCAAATTAAGTTGATACACTCTTCATTTATAGTATAATCTGGATGCTGCAATGATCTGATAAATCAGAGCAAAACTCAATGGAAAGTGATTTGATGGCCATCAGTGTTGAAAATTTTAATCTACAGTAATGAGGTCCTGACATATTTCACTTTAAAAAATTCTGGAAGACATGTTTTTTAATTAGTCTCAACTTGTTCCTCTTGAAAGATTACATGAGCAAACATTAAGACAACATGATGTAAAGTCACTCTCAGTATGTTAAGCATTTACATGTGAAATTCCATATATGGATAATACCGGTTTTCCCTTACTAGACTATATAACTGCATCACACTTTAAAAGGTAATTTTTAAAAAGCAATGACACCATTTAGGTAAAACACATTTTTTAAATGATTGATTTGGAAAACAGAATGTTGATCTGAAATGTTTATCAGAAAATCATTGCATTTTTAATTACTTCCTTAAATAGGCTTTATATTATAGGCCAAATTAAGAGAAAGAAATATTTATTCAATAATTTTAAAAAACTGATACTTACCATGAGATCTGGGAAACCAACAACAACTGTAGCATAACTATTCTCATCTGAGAGAATTCGGTTGGGAGAGGCAATCTTTTGTCCCACAGCTGAACTCAGATTCTCAGATGATAGTTGGTCACTTGAAACTTTATGAGGCATGCTGAAATCTGTTTCTGAATAGTGTCAGAGAAACATTAGATACCAGGTGGCCCTAAAATGCTCCTTGAATTAATGTTTATAAGATTTCATTCTCACCAATTCAAACAGAAAAAAGCACAAGTTAAAAAAGAGAAAACACTTTACAGTAATAGCCTTTCATCTGAAAAAACTTGGTTTTTTATAATCAAGGCATCTTCTCAAAGTAATTTCAAGTATTTATGAAATTCAAAATTTTACTAGCAGTAAATAATAGAACCCTATATAAAAGACATGACCCAATCCATGTTGGCAAAGGCATGTTTTAGATTTTTTTCATAACTACTATTCACTTCCCCGAAACTGTGATGAATTGAATAGAAATCCTGATGGTCTATGTAAAAAGGAAAAAATGCTATCTTAAAATAGACTTGGAACCTAAACATATATAAAAATTCTGATTTGTCAGTTAAAAAAATTCAAAGACAGAACTTAAAAGACATAGATTCTTATTTACTATTTCAGTGTAGTGATTAAGTTTTCTCTCGATATAAATTTAACACATGCTGATATTATTGCTGCTAAACGATTCTGAAGGACAGGATGTATATAAGCATGCAGCCTACAGCCATAAACACAAAAAAAGCAGTGTTTACCTTGAGTAACTCCAAACCCTGTGCTAGGTGGCTCCTCTTTCAACACATACAACTGGCAAACCCCAGTATCCTCAGATTCGATATGCGCAGGCTTAGTTAAAAGGTATTTCCTGTAAACAAACAAAACACCTAAGTGAAAAGTTTTCTTTTTCTAATAATTGTGCAACCAGAGTAGAAAAATCAAGTTTTTTCCTCCCAAAACCTTTTTTTAATACTTTGAGTATAATTTGCAGTTCCAGGGTTTCAGCGTAATTCTCAACACCGTGTAGAAAGAGCAGTGCATAATCACAATGCAGTAACAAAAATTCAACACTGCGTATGAGGAAGGGCTGTAAAAAATAAAAATAAAAGAGCCTGGCCAGCGTGGTTCAGTGGATGAGCATCAACCTAGGATCCAGGAGATCGCGGTTTGATTCCCGATCAGGGCACATGCCTGGGTTTCAGGCACGATCCCCAGTCGGGGGCATGCAGGAGGCAGCCGATCAGTGACTCTCTCTCATCATTGATGTTTCTTTCTCTCTCCCTCTCCCTTCCTCTCTCTGAAATCAATAAAGATATACAAAACAAGGAAAGAAAAAAAAACAGCTGTAATGAGACACACTTATTATCACGGAGCCTGCTGTTAATACGACTGATCAGCCGGGAAGTGGGAGCCTGACCTCTGGATTTGTGACCAGCTAAGGGACAGAAGCCCTCACTATTGTAATCTCCTTGATCTAGTTATTTTTAAGGCATCTGAGATGGTGATGTAGAAATAGCCAGGAATCTTTTGCATCAGGCTTCCTCTGCTTGTCAGCAGAGTTGCAGAGAAGTCTCCGTTTAGCTAGTGGATAAAATGCATGAAGGAGGGTGACTCAAAATTTACTCTTCACCCTATTTATGCCAAGAGCACATAATGTCCCTTTCATCAAGAAGTGTACAGTCCAATGGGGGAAGCAATACAAACAGAAACATGACCAAATAAGAGCACACAAGATAGAAGGAGAAACTTCTAAGAGGTGACCCTGTGAAGCCACAAAAAAGCAACAGCCCTATGATGGAGACTGTGGCCCTTTAAGAGCAGGATAAACTGAAGATCTATTTTGCAGTATCTCTAGTTTGGCAAGAACACAGTGAATTCTCAACATGCTAATAGAAAAACCCCAAAGAAATCTGGATCATACATAAAAGTTGTTATGTTTTTACTGTTAATTTCAATGTGATCCTCTGAAACACTTTTATAATTACTTTGTGAAGTGACATTTAATTTACTGTAATTTTTTTCTCTTTACTTCTTCTAACTTTCACCTATAGAGATGCTGCAAAACTCAGAAACTGCTAAAAGACAGACACAGAAAGATAGAACAGTAAGGATGCTGGATAATTGATAAGTAAGGAGGAGCTACAACACACGCCATGAGATGCTATGGAGAGCCACCCACTGATTTGTTTTGCTCTCCACCAGAAGCCATTTGTCTTCTGCTACAAGAAAAACTGCCTTGAGTGCGATGGGAAGTGAGATGGTATGAGTTCGCCCTTCTAGCACATCCAGCACAGTCAAGTTGTTCCTGAAAAAGGAGAAGACAACTGTGAGGATAATGGTTGAGTGACCATGACACAATCACTTCATGATATATTATGCAATCCTAAAAAGAATATTTTTAAGACTAAGTAATAACATAGAAAAATGTTAATTGAGCAAACAGATATATACAATTATGAACTATGCAATGGTACGCATAAGAAGTAATGGAAAGTGACAGCTGCTATGCTAGTAACGGTTGAATAATGGAGTTATGAGCACTCTCTCTTCTTGTGTGAGTTGTTCAATGTGGGATAAGCTTCTTTTACAGTAAAACATTTATAATTTGGTTACGTTAGTTTTATAATAAACAAGTATATTTAAAAAAGGAAATAAAATGGGCAAAATAAGGACCACAGTTTAAATCTTCTACAACCAAAAACTCACCCTTTTTCTTTGTAGAATACTAGCCAGTTTTTGTGTGAAAATTCTTTACACATTTTATAAGTTTCCTAAAGATAAAACAAAACAGAATATTCACATTAAATATGTCAGATGCAGTTATGTCTCTTCAGCTGCTTTGCCTTAAATAAAATCCTTCAACATTTAAAAACTAATTCTCAGAGAAGCTACCTGTTTATCTACATCAAGACTCTTATGGTAACATGGACTAAAATATATGTCAAAATTTACTGTGGACGACATACTAAAACATCTTTAGAATTGTTAAAAATAACCCCCAATACTGGTTAGAAATAAACATGCTATCCAATGATTAACTGTGGAATTTATGCCATAACATAAATAAATAAGAAATAATTTTCTTCTTAGATTTGGATACATTTATGACATTTAAAAAATCTCTTTTTTCATGGTCTTTTAAGACCTAAGTATGCTATCCTACAGAGCAGAGGATAAATCTCATTATGTATCCATTACCTTTTTCTAAACAGCAGAATAAATTCTCTTGGGTTGGCCTAAAATGTTTACTTACTAGTTTAATTTAATTAATAACTAAAAATGTTTATTTATCTAGTAGGTGCAATTAGGTGTTGTACTCATGGGCTTATCATATAAATCCAAAACATAAATGCATATTTGGAAAATAAGTTAAAGTGACTGCATGATTAGGAATTTGTTATAAATATCATACTCAAATAGCTCATAATGTCCAATTATTATGAATGCAGTCCTGACAAGTTTTCATGTGAGTACAATGGATACAAAAAGAAGCTACTGGTCTTTGATAATATGTGTATCTATGTCTATTTGAACTGTGTTGAAATCTACAAGTCCATAGTAAGAGAATTCTCTTGTGCATTATAATAAACAAAAGGCACTGAGAGGGATGGGCAGGCACTCCTCTTTATGGTTAAAAAGCTACAGAAAATCCCTGACAATTTGCTGGACAAGTTGGGTATTCCTTACAGTTTCTTCCTTGTTCCACCAGGAAGGTTTCTTAGATGAAACTTCTTCCGAAGGGAGGATGAGACGACGAAGGGCTTGGCCAATAGTATCCAACAACAGGATGACATTGCTCTGGAAATGAAGAGAACAGTGCAAAATTCAAGATTTGTAGAAGCAGAAGGTTCTTGGCAACCTGGGAGGAAAGGTTATAGTGATAACTCAGAAGGAAGATGGCAATACTGAAACACGATGAAGACACCAAGTGGTTTCCTTAACACAGAATTTAAAGTATTAGGTGCTTTTATGAGGATGTTTCTAATTATATGATGTGGAAGGAATTCTTTTTGAAGATTTTATCTTAAAACAATCCCCTTCTTAATATAGGCTAGCTTAACCATGGTTCTGTTTTATTACATAGTAATGATAAAATTAAGAGGATTAATTTTTAAAAGTCCATTTACTTTTATCAAAATGACACTTAAAGAATGTTCTGTTGAAAACTATTTTACATTGTACACAATTACATTAAAATCAAATTTAACAATTAAAAATAATAATAAAATTAATTCTTTTCACAAATCCAGTTCAATTCAGAAAATATGTACATGATATATAACAGTGGGTTAGCAAGGAAATATCAAAGACTACAAGAACCTAGCTAGTAATGAGGATTTCTTCATCTTGAAATTCACTAAGCTTAAAAAACTTTCACAGTTGGTGTTGTAATAATGTACAAACAAGAGATTACTCCAGAACTATTAATCACAGTTATGCAAATGAAATAATAACCTCTCAGTAATTAGAAGAGGTTTTGCAAGAAAAGAAATTTTTAAAAACACCTTAATCATTAAAAGAAATGAACAGAAACACATGAAATAAGAACTTAAAATTGAGACAGTCAGAGAAGATTAAATATTTTTAAGGGATGAAAAGTTGGCTTTTCTAGTTAAAACCTGAAGACCTTTAACAATTTTGCAAAAAGGCATCAGCGAATGGTTTGTTGGGCCTCACTGTTCTGTTATGCAATTATCTTTTCTTTCTTCCTTTTTATTTTTAATTGGAATTCCTCCATTATCCTAATCCTTATCAATTTTCATTTTAAGAACTTCCTTTGGGGAAAATTAAGTCACAAAGCACCCAAATAATTAATATACTTTGCAAAATTAGGAAACAGAGTATGAAATGTTTGTTATTTCTCCCATAATACCTGTTGAGCAGTTGATGCTTAAAGCACAAAGGAGAAAACAATGATGAATTAACTATGGCCCTTGTCATCTGTTACATAATTCAGTTGGAGAGAAATAAAAAATACATAAAAGGATTAATGATTTATCTGCAAATATGGAACCACACAGTGTGGTTTCAAATTTACTTTACTAGCTAATTTTATTGAAGTGCTCAAGAACTGAGGTGGGATTCATATCAGTTTCCTTCACTCTACATACTCAATCTCGGCCATAGTAAAAACTCCACTAAACATGTTGACAAAGCTTACATTTTTCCACAAACATCACCCTTAGAATCCATTATTCTATATAAAATGTAACTCTCCATTAAGAATTTGTGTTAGGAATGTTCTTTTTAAAAATAACATTTCATATAAGAAGTGTTATTCCTGGCATTTGAAAGTTTGAAAATGATGGTGATATCTAAAAGTTTTCCTTAAGAAAACGTAGTAATAGGTTAAAAACTTACTTGTCTCCATTCTAGATTAAATCTTTTTTGAATAACTGTTTTTAAAAGGAGAAATTCTTGTGTATGAAAAATATGTACAACATTAACATGACTTCTTAGCACTGAAGCAACTTGGGATAATATTAACTTTTCTAAGCAAAAAAAAGTCCTAAAAATAATGTCTGATCCCCAAAATATGATTAAGCAGAAGAATAAGCAGATGATTAAACAGATATGATTAAGCAGAAAAATAAGTTAGTACGGTTTTGCATTTTTCTTCATTTTGAGGGTCTAATACTTATATATTCATAACCTGGTCTAAGTGAACTGAAAAACTGTATCTTTCAAAGTGACATGGAAAACATATATTTCCAGCCACTGCTGTATTTAGAATTAGTTTTAGAAGCAATTGGCAACATGACGAAGTTCTGCTGTTCCATCCTTTTAGAAGTTAATAGTTTCCTTCTGTAAATGACTAATGATATATTCTGTCTGAGTTTAAAAATAGAATTTTTCGTCACACACAAGTACATGAAACTGTGGCTTTGGCGCTCCTTTAAGGGGGCAGAGAGGAGAAGCAAGTGAGCAATTTTATTATGTTTGTATTTGACTGGGAGAAAAGTAACCTCTGGATGACCTCAATGTCCCAAAGTCTGAAATTCTAAACTTTGTACAGATGTAATAAGTAATCTCATGGGGTGGGGGTGGGGTGCTTTATTTTTAGGCATGGAGAAGTTTCCCTTTCCTTACTTAAGATTTTATTTTAGCAAGGACTTTTGAACAACTTCTAAAGCTAACCAGGGAAATGCATCCAGAGCAAAGATTTATTTTTAAAAGACAAAGGGATAGATGAATTAATGGAAGTACTTCTCTACAATATTTTAGCTCCATTTTCATTTATAGCAGAACGGGGAAGAAGGAATTAAAGGCAGTGCACTCATTTTTTATTCCATTAGAATTATTTATCATTTGTTAAATTTTACAGCTGCATGCTGTATTTGGATTTAAAGAGGTCTTACATCTTTAAATCCAAATAAGGGGGCCATAATATAAAATAGACAACTAAGATATTCTCCCTGGGAAAAAGATGAGGCAGTTCAGATGATAGGTAGAATGGAAGTTTCCAGATATGCTGAGCAATTCCTGCTCAGGGTACTGAGGTAGCTTTTTGGAAAACTGTTGAAACCGTAATCAAAAGGATAAGTCAGGTAACATGCTAGAATGGCAGGAGGCCAAATCCTGGCTAGGGAAGTTAAGCAGATCTTTAAACATACTTTTATTTATTTTTTAATTGAATTTATTTGAGTGACACTGGTTAATAAAATTATATAGGTTTCAGGTATACAATTCTACAATACATCATCTGTATATTGTATTGTGTGTTTACCATCCCAAGTCTTCTTCCATCCCGTTTATCCCCCCTTTACCCTCTTCTACCTTCCCCCATCTCCCTTCCCTCTGGCAATCACTGTACTGTGGTCCTTGTCCATGAATCTTTCTTCTTTTCTTTGCTTAATCCCGTCACCCTTCTCACCCAGCCCCCAACCCCCTCCCCTCTGACAGCTGTCAGTCTGCTCTCTGTATCCATGAGTCTGTCTCCACTTTATTAGTTTATTTTGTTCATTAAATTCTACATATAAGTGAAATCATATGGTATTTGTCTTTCTCTGACTGGCTTATTTCACTTAACATAATACTCTCCAGGTCCATACATGCTGTCACAAAGGGTAAGATTTCTGTCTTTTTCATGGCCAAGTAGTATTCATTCCATTGTGTAAATGTGCCATAGCTTTTTATTCACTCATCTACTGATAGGCACTTGGGCTGCTATCAAATTTTGGCTATTGTAAATAATCTGCAATGAACATAGGGGTACATATATTCTTTTGAATTAGTGTTTCAGGTTTCTTCAGATATATTCCCAGAAGTGGAATTGCTGGGTCGTAAGGCAGTTCCATTTTTAATTTTTTGAGGAAATTCCATACTGCTTTCCATAGTGGTTGCCCCAATCTGCATTCCCACCAATAGTGCACAAGGGTTCCCTTTTCTCCACATCCTCGCCAACACTTGTTGTTTGTTGATTTATTGACGATAGCCATTCTGACAGGTGTGAGGTGCTATCTTGTTGTGGCTTTAATTTGCATTTCTCTGATGATTAGTGACACTGAGCATCCTTTCATATGTCCATTGGCCATCTGTATGTCCTCTTTGGAGAAGAGTCTATTCAGGTCTTTTGCCCATTTTTTAATTGGAATGTTTGGGTTTTTTTGATAGTTTTATAAGTTCCTCATAAATTTTGAATATTAAGCCCTTATCAGATGTATCGGCAAATATGTTCTCCATTCAGTGCAGAAAAACATATTTTTTCTTGATGAAAGTCACAAGTGAACAGAGTATTAATCAGCAATATTACCAAATAACTGAATCTTTTGAGAAAATAAAATACTTGGTGAGAACTTAAAAAATCTTTTAAAGAAATGGTATATGTAAATTCGACAGCTGAAAATTTGGCAGAACTGTTTGAATAAATGCTCCATATTTATATCCCTTTCTAAATTTAGTTGGCTTACTGAATTAAAAATCACTAAGATATCATGTGTCATAAAGACAGATTCTTCTGGCTGTAGAATTCAATTCAATGGCACTGATATTTTGTTGGAAATCTATAAAGTAAAACCCTTTTCTTTGTGCTAGAAACAAACTTTTATAAGCAATATCTGGATACTCATAACTCTGCTTGTAGGAGAAAGTAAAAAGAAAAGAAAAATCTGAAAACCAGAAAAAATTTATTAATTCAGAATTTATGATAATTCTTAAGGCAATGCCTAAAGTTAAAGTTGACTTATTTACTCAGTTAACTACTGACATGTTATTTATGCAACATTTTCCTCTTGATTAGACACAGTCCAAAATACTGTTTCTTGGTAACACTTTATTTTTATAGTGACCTTAAATATTCATAAGCAACAGCACTGCATTTAATATTTTCCTATTATGAATACTTTAAAATTTTTCAGACTTTTCTTTCCCCAAGTATCTGAAGTGAGAGTGTGTGAAGTTTAATTCTACTGGGGTCCATCCAATGTGGTTTGAATCTCAAGTCCCATGTAGCTGAGCAAGTTGTTAAAATTCCCTGAGCCTGTTTCCTCAAATGTACATATTGCTAACAGCTACCTCCCTGGGCAGCTGGAAGAACAACATGGGATAGTGTATGTAATATTTATCTTACACATTGTCGGCATTTAACAATTGATTCCTCTCCTTGAGACACTCATCACTTTCCTCCCAGGACACCACACTCCCCAGTTTATTCGCCTGCTTCACTGGCCACTCATTTCCAAACCCTTGGTAGATTCCTCCTCATGTCCCTGATTTCTTAATGTTTTATTGCCACAGGGCTTAGTGCTCAAACATCTCTTCTTGACCCACATTCACTCCCCGGTGACCTCTTTCATTCT